GACGCTTAAAGACAATTCGATTCAGAAGCTTTGATGAGATAGGGAGCAGGGATAAGAGACAGTAGTTAGAAGGGGAAGATGGATCAAGAGATTCTTTTTCTTGGGATGGGTACAACATGTTGAAGGGGAGTGACGATAATGCTATAAGAATTAGAACAGTTGAAGATATGCATTAAGGATGGCACAAGACAAGGAGAGAGACATCTGATAAGGTGAGATAGGGGGGGTTCAAACGGAGAAGTCATAGGGTGAGAGAAAAGGTAGAAGCGCTGCCACCTTCTGTTCATTTAACGAGGAGAAGGCTTGAAGGGTAGGGAAATCCATTGCCCATGTGCTGTTAAGAGAGGGAAGCAAAGGTGGGAGAATTATTTCGGGACTAGTTAATCTTGTAAGTAAAGTAGCATGCAAAGTTATCAGCTGTAAAGTAAGTGTGGGGGGTGGCCATGGCAAGGCAAAGAGGAGAATTGTAGGTATCAGAGAGATGTTGAGATGTCTGGGATTGTCAAAGCTTGATGTAAAGAAAGAGGAAAACTAGGATTGTTTAGCGAGGGTGAGAGCTGTGCTGTACGAATGTAAGATGAATTTATAATGGAGAAAGTCTGACAAGGTGCGAGATGAGTTGTGGAGGTTTAGGCTAAGAATGTTGGGTGAGGAGGCTCTCAAAAACACAAGTGGGAGAATTAGCCCACTGTGATAGCTCAAAGGAGTAAGTAATTGATAGAGTTTTGACTGACATGCGCATACATGCATTGACACATACACACAGACACATACACACACATAGTGGTATATTTTGAATTTGTGCTGTCGTAGGCATGATGAAACTTGGGCACCCTCTTCCCCCACAATTAAATTTGCCCCACCCCTTCCTGTCAAGGCCACACACACTTTGACTGACAGATACTCCCTCACTGATGCATGCAGTGACATACACTTACTGAAAGATACAGTCATTGGCACACACACTTTTTAGCCAACACACTTTCACTAACAGAAACACACTGACACACAAACTCACTGACAGGAACACACTCTCAGATACACTGACATAAAATGGCATACACACACTCACTGATTTGACAAACTTTGACAGACACACACTATTACTCAGACACACACTGACAGATACACACACACTCACTGACAAACACACACTAGCTGTCACACACACACTCATTGACAGACACACACTCACTGAGAGATACTCAAACTCACTGACACACACACACACTTATTGACAGACAGACACACACACTCTTTGACAGACATACACTCACTGACAGACACATAGACTCATTGACAGACACATACACACGCAGTCACTGACAGACACACACTGACAGATACACGCTCACTGACAGACACACACTGACAGACACACACATTCACTGACAGACACACACTGACAGACACACACACACACACATTAACTGACAGACATACTCATACACATTTTCCCCAACACTCACAATGCATATATACACATAAATTTTTAGATTTTTTGCTAACCTCCTGTTAACATACCTTTTAGGAGGGTAGCTTCCTTGGTGTCCTGCTGCTGACTGAGTTTGATAGGAGTGTGGGACTGGCTGGAGCTGGGTCTCTGCCTCCTCCTCTCTTCTCCTCCTTTGCAGCGCTATATGTAGCTGGGAGGAAGTGACAGGCTTTCACTTCCTCCCAGCATCACCGATATTACTGGGGCCAATGAACCCAGTTCAGTAATACCCATTGGGTGGCCTTAAGTGCTCGGGCCAACTGATGAGTCCCCTGAGCATGCGGGCCCACGTGCAGTAGTTTCGCCACTGCATTGAACATCTGTCATCATTAGACAGAAGGTATAATGTGGGCCCCATTATTAAACATGTTTAACCCATATCACACTATTCAGGGTAATTCCAGTTAATGTTTATTTTTTATAAGATTATAGCAGTCAATAAGTGACCTATTAAAGTCAGACTAACATATATTTAAGGTATAACTGAATGTGTGTTTTATTTACTTGTTTGAGATAAATGAAAGTAAAAAATAAATGTGACAAGTGTATTTTAATAGGTTCATAAATTATAAATCATTAGAAATTAACATTATATACAAGGGATTTATTTATCTTTTTTTTTACTTTTTAGATTTAGATGTTTACACATTTTTATTTATAATTTATGATTAACTTTTCTCTATGCATATATTTTAGAAACATGCAAGTGTTTCTTTATAATTAATATCTGATAGAAACATCTGTATATAATTTTAGAGTTGACAAATTCAATGCATTCAAATGCCTTGTAAACAGTAAACAGATTTAATATCGGAACTCATGCAAATTTGTTTGTTTTTAAATATTTTTTTTACGTGCCCTAACCCACCCCACAATTCTTTGCTAGGGGCAGAAAAAATATACTTCAGCACCGCACAGCACATTTATCCATTTGTTTGTTTTTTATGGAAAACTCAGACTATGTTGTTTTTATGGCAGCAACCGTCAAGGTTTACTGTTTGATAAATTAATTTATGTTAATTTTATTTTGTGTAGCATATGGCTCTGTTTTCAACTATTCTAATAGGAAGTTAGTGATCCGTAACAGTGTAGAGACTGACGTTTGCTCAGGGGTAATATGGTATTAATGTTAATATAAGTGATCGATCGGACGATTTGCAACAAAGGAATACAAAATTAAATTATAATTGCACTGGGAATGGCTTGTTCTGACTGCGACATTTAAATAAGGTCACAAAACCTACACCTGTGTGATGTTGCTTGATATTAAATGCCATTCACTTAAAGTTACACAAATTTACAGCAGTTTCGTGTGCCACCTGGAATATGATTGATATCCTTTCATATACCAAATGCCAGCATAAATGTGCGCACAAATGTATTTTATTACGTTGCACTAATGTAAAATATATGGTACATTTGTGGCTTACAGGCAAACCAAATTCAGTTTTCATCGTCCTCTCTTGTACCTATTGAGATCGCCATTTCACGCCAACGGCAGAGAACTTGGTAGTAATAAACTTTCTACAATGAATACATTTGAATTTGAAAAGGTCAGACACTATATTCTGATTGTAGCAAACGAGTTACAGCTTTCAAGGCTGGCATAAGTCAAGAATTTATACATATTGTAAAATCAGACAGCAGCTTATGAAATAAAATACACAAAAAGAATGTTAACCAACGGATTTATTAAATACATAGTTATTTGCGGTTAGATAAAATCAGAGTTCCAAAATTAAGGCAAAAATAGCCCTGTTGAGGCAACAAAAAAACTAGTGTCTCTACTCACAGAATAGTTCATTGTGGGTGAGTTGACAATGTACTTCAAAATTCAGGTCAAAAAATTGCACATGTGAAAAACATCTACTCAGTAAAGTTAGACGTTTTTAAGAGTTCTAACATTTTAGCCTATATTTTGCAAATCATTGTTAATTCACTGTTGACACTCCCCAGCTGTTTTAGTATAATATCAAAGTGGATTACTGACAAGGCAGCAGGCTTGAAATTTATATAAATATCCATTAGTTCAAGCAATAATCCTCCTTAGTATTATTACAGAAAGTGCGCAATGTAGGTGTTTTCTGATAGAGTCGGATTCAAAGGAGATAATTTAGAGGGGGAACCAAAGACGATTTGAGAATAGATAGACGGGGATTGGATTTGATTAAAGGGGGCATCCTTTTCTAAAGATGTATACGAAGTCTAAAGGTAAAGGCTTTGATGCTAGAGGGTCAAAGCCTGCCGGGTAGTGTGAGAAAAGTGTATTTTACTGAAAAGGTAGTAAGTGTGTTAAAGAGCCCTCCAGTGAAAGTGGTTGGGAGGACAACATAGAAACATAGAATGTGATGGCAGATAAGAACCATTCGGCCCATCTAGTCTGCCCAGTTTCCAAATATTTTCATTAGTCCCTGGCCTTATCTTATAGTTAGGATAGCCTTATGCCTATCCCACACATGCTTAAACTCCTTTACTGTGTTAACCTCTACCACTTCAGCTGGAAGGCTATTCCATGCATCCACTACCCTCACAGTAAAGTAATACTTCCTGATATTATTTTTAAACCTTAATCCCTCTAATTTAAGACTATGTCCTCTTGTTGTGGTAATTTTTCTTCTTTTAAATATAGTCTCCTCCTTTACTGTGTTGATTCCCTTTATATATTTAAAAAGCACTGAAAAAGAACCAATAATAATGTAAAAGGTTATTCTGCAGAACAATTAAGTCAATTTAGGTCTGGACAGGGAAAATTATTGTTTTCTACCATTATATGTTTTGTCTAAAATTTACACTTTATATACATTTCATTTATTGACATATGTACGACCAACATCACAAAAAAAGTGTATATTTCTGAAAACATGCATTTAAAAATACATTCACACAGCAAAAACCTTATCATAAATTAATACTAAGATAAGTGTGTTTGTCTCTGTGTATCATTTTCGTCATCTAGTTTATTGCCTAATTATATTTCACCCCTGGAAAATATTGCATAGGGAAATACGGATTGTAACAGAATAATGCATAAATTAAGCTCGGACATGGACATAAAACATACTGCCTACCTAATAAACACCTATCTCTCTTTTTTTAAAATAATATATAAAAATATAACATTGATCTGTATAACAACACATTTAGTAACTTAAATAATGAGTCTGTGAAAAGCAAGTTGGTTTGTTCAATCGGACTGTATGATGTTATCGATCAGTCATTTCATCAAGAGCATAACAACCTAAAGTCTCTATTTCAATTCAACTCTCTATTTTGGTCTTAATACATCATTTACTTAAGGAGAAAAAAAAGAATGTCACTGGTAGCCAAATACTGATTTTGGCAATGAAGATAAATTACTCTCGAGACTACGCATAGCACAGATGTTGTTATAGAATTGTTACATTCCGAAACTTGTTTACAAAGTGAATTGATTCACGGAGATACCCGTGGCTCCGACAGATCACCTTGATGGATAAACACTGATGATTAGGAATTAGCTTGATTGTCATAGGCTCCAGAACTGAAGGTTCCTTTGTTGGCATTCTAAGACATGATATTTGTTATCTAGAACATGATGCTGGGATCTTAGTACTGGCAAAGGGTCTGGAGCTGAGAGAATATAATCAATGCTAAATTTGATTTCATCGGACTTTGCTAGGCTGGAATCAGTCTGGCTCTGTCTGTTGGTTATATCATTTGGAAATATACTGTCCGATTCCATTTGTACGGTTATCGAGTCAGTTTGTTTTTCACTGCCAGACATAGCACATGAGGACGAGTTAGTGGTAGAGAAGTCCCCCGGATGAAGTGGTTTTGTTAGACTTTGTTTTCTTTCTTTCTGACATTTTTTCATGTTTCTTCTTCTTCGCCTCCTCTTATAATTCCCATTTTCGAACAGATCAAGCATCGACTCACATCCTGACGCAAACGACCAGTAATTTCCTTTGCCTTTTTCATTCCCTTCAGCTCTTGGCACCTGTGGATGTAGACAAAAAATAAATGTACCTGTTATATATTTTTATTTTATGTTTTGCACGTTTAAAGCATTGTTACCAATCAAGTTTGGATTATCTTGAAACATCTAATGGATCTCGTAGAAGCATGATTTAGATAACATGTAGTAGGAATTTCCTAAGACAATTTGGAAATTAATAGGCACTGTTCATTAGATCATAAATTGATACCACACTGCTTGGCAGACCTTTAATAGTAATAAATGCTCCCATCAACAGTTTGCTATTTAACCTCTCATGTTATGTATGTCATATAGTACAGCTTATAACTCACCATATAAGCAATAGACCAGCAGTAGGCAACTCTTGACACTCCAGATGTCGTGGACTACATCTCCACTGATACTTTGCCAGCATTATGGCTGTAAGACCACAACATCTAGAGTGCCAAAGGTTGTCTACATCTGTAATAGACAAATAAATGCTATCTATCTATCTATCTATCTATCTATCTACCTACCCATCTACCTACATATCTATCTATCTATCTACCTACCTATCTGTCTATCTGTCTATCTGTCTATCTATCTATCTATCTACCTACCCATCTACCTACCCATCTACCTATCTGTCTATCTATCTATCTATCTATCTATCTACCTATCTGTCTACCTATCTATCTATCTGTCTATATATCTGTCTAACTATCTGTCTAACTATCTGTCTATCTATCTATCTATCTATCTATATCTCTCTATTGATTTCATTTTTTCAACTTACGAAGAGTCATACTATAATGTATGCTAAGAATCCTGCTCCCAAATGCTAGAAAGAAAAGCTTAACTTTTAGGGTTTTTTTCAGATAACTTAATCTTATACAAGGAAAAGTGCAGAACTGTTTTGGCCATTTGGAAGAAATGACTAGTATATATCAATTCTGACTTTAAAAAAAAAATAGAAATCTTGAAACCTGTAATAAAATGTTCTAATCAACAAATGGAAAAATGCAGTAAATTGAGTACCAGCATTCACAATTTAGGCCTTGTTTAATTTAAAAAAAAAATGTAAATCCAGTTTTGCTACTTTGTTTGGAGATTCTATATATGTTACTCATGAATGCTGATGCCACTTAAACAAAACATAGTATCCCTACTATCCCCTGGGTGATAGGTTACTGTCAACCAAACATACATCAATTATTATGTTTCCTAAACTTAGGAGAGTCGGAAGCATTGACTTGCAGAGTTAATAAATCTGTTTTGGTTGATATTTAGGTTCCCCTATTCAGACATGTACCTGGGTATTTATTGCTGAAATTGTAAGTGTTATTCAGTATATGGATTACATATGTATATACAGAACATATATATACTATCACAATTAATGAGTGCGTAAGGTACAAACTCTTTCTGGTGTAACTAGTTGCTTGTATTATATTTTTAAGTTTTCCAACGTAATTAAAAGAGTATTTGTTAGAATAAACTTGGCTTTAATTAAGTGGGAGACAGTACTGTTCTTAAGAAGACTGTGATGAAAAAAAAGTATAATCATGTTACCTTGACAAAGCAGCTGTTGAGAGACAAGTTGTGTCTTATGGAGTTCTGCCACGCTCTTTGGTTGGACCTATAATATGGGAATTTCTTCATAATGAAATCGTAGATGCCGGACAGAGTCACTTTGCTGTCAGGACTTTGCTGGATTGCCATAGCAATTAAAGCAATATAGCTATAAAAAAAGAAATCAAAAAACAAAAACAAAAACATGATAATAAATTAACATGAGCACATGAGAATGATGTATCCGTCAAACTACAGTTTACTGTGAAATAATGTTCTTACAAAGGGTAACATAATGAATATATATATATATATATATTCGGTCCGGGAATAATAAAACTATTATAAAAAAAAATGTTTATCAAAAATGAATTGTTTTTGAGTGAGTATTAAATTATTTAGCCCACTTTAAATTAAATGGGGGGGGGGGGGAAATCATTTTTTACATTTAATTACATCACATTAATTTGGGCTAATTCTGGTTTTAGAAATTTTTCAACATTATATATATATATATATATATATATATATATACATATGAATTTTTTAAACTTTTTTATATGTACGTTTCCCATTGAATTACATCACGTTAAATAGGGTTTAGTACTGGCAAAGGGTCTGTGTATTCTTTTGTATAGATTTTTTTTCATAAATTATTCAGTAGCATAAAAGTTTACAAGTATAACATAAAACAGATAGTGTAATCAATTTCAAATCAACATTAATCTTACTGACAGCCTGAAGAAGAACACTGAAAAAATTTGTATCACTAATTTCTTCACAGATACCCATAGGGAATCCCTAACTCCAGCATTTTCTCTGCACGATCAATAGAGCAGCTGGTGATTTTTAGCAACATAATTGATTGAACTAATTTCAACACTACCTGCTGAAATAATTTAATTGATTTATCGGCTGGAGGTGCGCTGAAAATGGTTGGGATAAAAAGATCTAGAGGCAGATTCTTCAAGTGTGCTTCTACTTACCTATAGGCTGGTCTTGAGTACTTTTTCTCTTCGTCTGAGCTGCAGGTTGGGTAGTCATCTCCATCATAATTAAAACAATTGTAAGGGTACTGAGTATGATCAAACATTCTGCAGGTTCCTTTGCAGGACAAGAGTGGCTCTTGTTGTGTTTGGTCCTGTTTCTTACAATCTCTAAGAAGGAGGGGTGAGATCCTGTGGTTCACTCTCTATTCTCATCTGGGCTCCCCCTCCCTTTCTCTCTCTCTCTCTCTCTCTCTCTCTCTCTTTTGCATTTGAGTTGAAGTTGTTTTCTAGAAATTCCTTATTCCCAGACAGTCAGTCTGTTGGGATATTCTGTTTGCATCCAATCTGGTTATAAGTAAGGCAGCAAATAACTGATTAAGTTGGGTAGCTCTTTTTTGAACCTTTGAACTCTGGGTGTGCACAGCTTTTAGCTTTGAATGTTAGTGTCTGGGTGGTCCAGAATTTAAAGGCAGAAGATGTGAACGGAAACTTAAAATATATATATATATTTTTTATTTTTTTTTGCCTGCTAAACAAAAGCAAACAAAAGTGATCTCTACAAATATATATGTATGAAAGAACCCTTTAGTTTTGTTAACAGATTGCAACTGCAGATTACGCCTCGCATAACAAGACTTTCGTACGTTTGGAGTTACAGATATGGGTGGGTAACGTCTTCTGTTCTCTTGTGTAACGCTGCAATGTCGCAGAGAACATATTTCTATTAATAGGAAAGAAGCTGTATTTTTCAAAGGATAATATGAAGGGCTACTGTCAAGTACGATCCTTACAGGAAAATAGCTGTAGGCTTTCAAAGCTGTGTGTGGGCTTTGATCTGAATGATGACTTAGTAGACTAATAGCTACACGACTTTGCATCCAATACTATAACAATGCAATTTTTTCTACACTCTGCGGTGTTCCAAGTGAATCAAATACTTTCCTGGACAGTTTGTATCTAAAATAGGTGAAGGCAGAAAGATCAGAAAGTTGTGTAATGTTTTCAGGATCCATGCCAGGCTATGTAGGGCAGGCAGAGGAAACTTAACTGAGTATGCATCGCAATGCATTGTGTGACATGTACTCGAAAGGTCAAAAGAGTCCTTTATATTTATTTTCTGGCAAACACTGTGGGTATGATAAAAGGAATATATATATATATATCTCTAGTCTAGACCGCTTGCTGATTTCAATTACACAAAGGGGATTGAATTAACGACTTACATAGATTGTAGGCATTTGGAAAATATGTTGAAATGGCCTTTTTTACACTTTACCCGAGTCTACACAAAGGCCTGTGGCATCTAAAAGCTGTCAGATCATTCACTGCATTTTGATCTGGCTCCCTCCCGGTGGAAATAAATAGCGTGAAATTCGGGAGCCAGCACATGTATTACAAAATCCCTGCTGGTATTCAAATGGTTAAAGGAGAGAGTGGCGTATAATTCAGACCTCCTGGTGCTAAAGTAACATCCATGACTTCTTACAGGAACAAATACAGCAGTTGGAAAATATTTACGGGAGCTGGAGTACAATTCGATCAGAAGTTGAATGTTTCAAAATAATTTCGTTTAATTTTTGCTTCGTTCAGTTATGTCATGCTGTAACTCCACCCAGTTTGTGTAAAAATGTTTGACATCGCCACATCTATAGTCATATTCTTTTGTATTCGCATTAAATATTTTGCATTTCCATTATTAAAAAATTATAAACAGTGAATGTTCCTAAACATAGATAATAACGTGTACTGATTAGCCACAACATTAAAACCAACTACCTAATATTATGTAGCTCCCCATCAAGCTACCTAAATAGCTCTGATGCACTAAGGCATGGTCTCCAGAAGACCTCTGAAATAGTCCTGTGGTATCTGGCACCAAGATAGCAGCAGATCCTTTAAGTCCTGCAAGTTGGAAGGTGGATGTCCATAGATTGGATTTGTTGTTCCAGCACAACCCACAGATGGTCAATCGGAGTGAGATCAGGGGAATTTGGAGGGTGAGGCAACACATTGAACTCTGTCATATTCCTAAAATCATTCCTGAACAATTTTTGCAGTGTGACAGAGTGCATTATCCTGCTTAAATAGGCCACTACCATCATGGAACATCATAGTTATGAAGGTGTGTACATGGTCTGCAACAATCTCTAGATAGGTGATACATGTCAATGTAACATCCACATATATGCCAGGACCCAAGATTTCCTAGCAGAATATTGCTCAGAGCATAACACTGCCTCCACCGGCCTGCCTTCTATCCATAGTGTATCCTGCTGCAATCTCTTCCCAAGGTAAATGATGCACACTCACCAGGCAATCTACCTGTTCTAAAAGAAAATGTGATTCATGAGACCTGACAACTTACTTCTCTTGCTCGATGGTCCAGTTCTGATGCTCTCATCCCCATTGAAGGCACTTTCAGGACAGGGTCATCATGGGCACTTTGACTAGTCTGTGGCTATGCACTGTGTGTTCAGACACCTTTCTATCATGGCCAGCATTAAGGTTTTTAGCAATATAACCTATGAGTAGCTCTTCTGTGTGATCAGACCATGCATCAAATAGCCTTACCCTGACAACGGTTCACTGGTTGTCCTTCATTAAAACATTTTTTTCAAAGTTAACTGACTCTGACTTAGAATGCACAGAACTGATTACCCAGACTACAGATAGTCATAACAAAATATAATCTGCTTATTAGCTAACGACACGCCTATCGTGATGACTACAACAAATCAGGAATAGTTTCAAAAGCATCAAATTAATTGTCAAGCTGCAAAAAATCCATTCATAGGCCAACCTACGGAACTCCATTTTCCATTTTCCATTCCGATACATGCCAAAGCCTATGGGGCCAAAAGCATTAACCAATAACTAGAAATGCCAATTAACTTTAAAAAAGAAATTCCAAACCTGTAGATACATCCTGATCACCTTTAAAATCCTGCAATGCACAGGCCAAAGCCATTCTCTGAAAAAATATAAGACCCGTTGGCATAGTCCAACCTGCAAAACTTTACAGACCTAACAAAGACTGGAACAGTCTAATAGTTGCATTCTTTGAAATTAACATCTGAGAGAGTTTTACTAACTTTCTTTCTGCTAAACAGCATAACCTCAAAAAAGAATAAAAGCCATAAAGCCAAAACAACTACATCCTATAAGCAGGTTGCACTCTTTTCCTTCGCCAAATTAATACTAACTGTTACGCGGCACCCCCAGGCATAAAAGGGTTAAACCACCGTTTAGAAGATCTTCCCCTTCCAGAGACACAGGCAGCTACTGCAGAACACCAAACTCCCGAACTGGATACAACGGAATGCTCCAAACTCCCGAACTGGAACCTCACGAATAGCTGCTAGCAGACTAACAGGAAAAGCACCCAAGCGGCTTACACTCCTAGCAATCAGTCTCTAACAGAATACAGTAAATCCCCCCAAGAACGAGATAAAGCTCTGTGTTGAGGGTCAAGCAGTGACAGACAGAGCTGTGGGTTTATTGTTCTTATATACACATTGTTACACATTAGTACCACCCACAGGGTTTTGGAAAACCACCAATAAACACGTACAATACACTCAGACACTCCCACACAAAATCCTCCCCTCTGCCTGTGAAACAATTACCTTACACAATGGGTTAATGTAATTATCACAGGCAGAGAAATACAGTTTTTCCACATTATTCATAACTTTAAAAGTATGCATCTGTCACGGCTGTTATTGTGGTCCAACATGCAGAAGCTATGTAAACATATACATAAAAAAAGGAAAGGAAATAAAAGGACAGAGCGTAAACCGGACCTTAGAATGGCCGAACTAATACGCTAGACTTAGAGAATGGTCAAAGGGAAAGCCGAGGTCAAGGAAGCCAGAAATACTCAGATACCATTTAAACAAGCCAAGTCAGGGGAACCAGAATTCGGAATAACCAGGGAAAAGCCAAGATCAGGATACCAGGAAGTAATATTCACAAAGATAAACGCACTCTAGGGAACCAGGAACAGGAAACCACGACAGGGCAAGGAACTGGAGTGAATTAGGGATTTAAATATCCCTCTCTAGGCTCTGATTGGTCAGAGGTTGACCTCTGACCCCAGAAGGTGTGCGTGCGTTTTTCGTATAATTTTGGGGTGTGGAGCCATGGATGGACGCGACCTCATGGTCGGCGCCATCTTGGATTTCCTCGAGCGGCGTGGAGGAGCAGTTCCTGGCTTCAAAAGATAGATCGAAGTCCTTTGTGACCAAATGAAGCATGGCTTTTCTGCCCAAAACCAGTTCCACAGAGTCTTCTATCCTGGAGATAATTGGGAAGTAATCCAATTATCTCCAAGGACAGAGGCAAAGCTCCATTGAACACATGGTAGCAAAAGACAATAAAATACATAAAAATATATAACTGTGCAGCTATTGCATAAAACAGGTACATTCAACATATCCCCAGATAGCTTAGATCTGAGCGCACATTATTACTGAATGGTGCTCAGATCTCATACATACAGTTCAATTGCCACGGAGCCAAAGTCTTTCACATAGTCTTTCGTTATACGAATGGGCTCCATGGCATAGCTATCTGGAGTATCACTATTCAAATAGGGCAAGTACCGAATGACCCGGCTCTCGTGTCCTTGCAGGGGAAAATCAGGCGTTTCAACATGGGACCATAGTCTAAAGGCAGCAGGCGGGCAACCAGGCTCCTCCAATGCACATTGGCGAGGTTGGTCTTGTCACACTAACCCATTCAGCAAAGTCACAGAATGTTTTGAGCAGTTTGTTACTGCTCAAAACTGTCCACAGAACCAATTAAGAGTAATGAATCTAAATAATGTTCAATAGAAACAAAACAAGCTTCTGAACCAACAATCTAATCAACGGCAGTTGAAATGTCTCAAAATGGAAGGCATTGGTCAAAATAGTTCGGACCTCTGAAAGAAAATTACATAGAATTAAAATCCTCTGGATGGACCAGGAGCAAATAAAATGATGACTTAATATACAATTTAGGATAACCATATAAAATAAATTGGCCCTGTCCAAGGCATCATCCAATGTTGATTCATCATGAAGTCCCAACAGGAATGGATCCTACAATGGTATTGGTAATT